AACAAAAATACTGATGAAGAAATGTGATTCGAGAATCAAACAAGTAAATTCCGAATATCAATCCAACTGCTCCAAACCTTCAGAAGAGCATCTGTATGCTCCAGAAGCCATCCAACCAACGCATGCCCAGATTCATGATAGGCAACTATTTCACGTTCCTCCTCAATCAATGTCCTGCTGCGTTTTTCAGCACCTTAAAATAATTCATAAGAAATAATCCTAACCACACTACACTCATAAATTCAAAACATCACACTTTTCTGAATAGATTGATGTGCTAACCACTGCAATTATAAAATTTTAAACTTCAAATCGAAATTAACGATACCATTAAGATGCAACAGCATCTTCAATAGGCGATCAAATTTTCAAAACCGATGAAATGAATCCACTAAAAAAACAAGAGTTTCTGAAATCTAAGCAATCATAATTATAAGGATCTACCGGCTAAAATCCTCTGCAATGAAAAATCCAGCTCCTCGGCAGTTACCAATTGCTTCTCGGTAGTTGCAGCTCGGATGGCTGATTCATTCACAACATTCGCTATATCCGCACCTATCAACAGATACGAAACATTAAAATTATCCTCTTAATGTTATGATGACTAACATATTTCCGACTGAACAATAAAAGGAATTATACTGTCGAATTATCGTGACAAACTAAAGCTTCCTAAACAAATTCGCTCGTTTGAGAATCTCAGAAAGAGTCGTCGAACAAACCGGTAAATCCAGGAGTCATTTGAGCCAATCTTCTCGAATAGTATTCCGGTTTGTGATCCAGCTTGATACGTTTCAAATACAACTCGAACATCTCTTGTCGTTCGCTGACCGTTGGCAAATCAATGTTGATGTGACGATCGAAACGTCCTGGTCGCATCAGAGCCTTGAATTTACCGATTCATTCGATAAATATTATGATTTATTAAGCATAAACTAAACAAGCACAAAAATGAGCTAACTGCAAACAAACTATGTATAGTAACTACCAAATGAATTTAACAATATCGACAAAACTGTGAGTAACCATTGACAACATGACATCAGAACGCGTACCTAACAAATGCTATGCCACTAGAGTTACGATGTTTTAATTCTCTACACGAATACATTCCTCTAAACCTTCGTTCTCGTTCTATTTCTCGATCAGAAACGTAATAATACCGATCGATTTAACCACTAAGAGACCAATCCAAAGGAGAAATCGAATGATTTTACAAGTCACAATCAATACCTTATCGAGAATATCAGCACGATTCGTTGACGACAGAACAATAATTCCTTGGGCACTGTCCATACCATCCATCTCAACCAACAACTGATTCAACGTTTGCTCTTCTTCACCACTTCCACTTCCAAATCTGAAATTACGACAAAATTCTCCACATACCTATTCCGATACCATCGATATTTACCGATTTATTTCAAGAATAAGATTTCAACGGTCAACACCATACACTAACATTTCATTCAAAAAGGCCAAGAATAAATAACAATGAATACACACCCAGATGCTGATGCATCACTGCGTTTTCGACCAATAGCGTCAATTTCGTCGATATAAATAATACACGGTGCTCGCGATTTGGCCTCCTTGAAGAGATTTCTGATGCGTGAAGCACCCAATCCTACAAATATCACACACACACATTCAACCACACCACGCTGAACATTCAAACTCAGCTCTAACATTAGCAA